CGGTAAAGAAAGCCAGTGTTGCCAGCTGTGAATGCCTGGGAATCCCATCAGGATGAACTCAGAGACCTGGAATTTCGAGCTATTGGAGACTTGCAGAGACATAGACGTATTCTCCTAAGAGAAAAACAAAACAAAACAAAACATGTTTTTCAGAGTTGCTGTCTCTGCGCATAATTGTATTAAACATTTTTTTAAAACTGTCTCTACATAATGTTGTTTGGTGCTATTAACCAAATAAATTCTGTAGTCCATCTCGTAATAAGATAAGATAAATTACAATGAAGTTCTAGGGCTTTAGAAGTAGAGCGTAAACATAATAGTAACAGTTATCAATGTTGATTATTCAGGGAAAATCCTACGTGAATCTCAAATCTCTGTTTGTCTTGTGCTCAGTTACTGCAGCTTAGGACCAAAACATAAATATGATTCTCAATTTTTGTTTGTTCATTTGTTTTTTAAACCTCTAATTTTCTCTTTCTCTTTAGTAACTTTGTGGAATTGAGTGAATAAGTTTGTTCTCTTCATTTTTTTCTCAGTCTTCTCTGAGTCAGAATTTTATTAACAATAAGTAGATTTTTTTAAGGGCAGAATTATGGCAGATTAAATTTTATAGCTACATCACTCCAGCTTGTAATCATTGTCCTTAAATATTTTGTATAGCCTTCCAATAATTTGGTATTATAGACTTTTAAGAGTTTGCAGCCATAAGGCATGCTGCAGATTGGAAGAAGAATAGCTTTCTTTGATATTCTACTTTGTATGGCCTTCTGAGGAGGTTACAGAAGAATAGCTTAAAAGGGAATTAACAAACCTGACTTCCTTTTCCATAAACAATTGCTTCCTTACCATGTTGTCTTCTCTCCTTTACTTCCTTCGTGCACCCCTTCTCTTCAGCACTGCTTCTGTAATCTCACCTGGTCACACTTGTCTCTGCCCAAGCTTCTCTCTTTTTGTCAGCAATCTGACCTTTCTCAGATTGATAGTCCCTTGCTTAAAATAACTTATATCTTCACACCTCCCTTCACATACAATTCAAATTCCTTTCTGGTGCACAAATCACCTTCTGACATGAACAAATTTACTGAGTATCATCTTTGGTTTTACCTCCTTGTATCTTATATACTTCAGATACACAAAATATTTGCTCTTGACTAAAATTGTTGACTTTGCAAAGCATTTAATTATTAATATGTTCACCTTGGTGAAAGCTATTGTAGGTTTACGAGCAAGAAAACAAGGAGACTAGAAAATTGTGCTTTAAAACATAAAACACGGAAGTTTTTAAATGAAATGTTTAGATTATTAACCATTTAATTATATTGGTTATAGGTTTATTCTTGATAAAATTACTTTTAAATACAAAAAAATTCTAAAAGAAATTAAAATTCTTCTGCAGCATCACCAATGAAAAAAGATTGATCTTAACAGCTAGATGCCCTTTTATCAGATATTCAGATAAGCATATGCTGCCTAGTTATGAATAAACTATCCTTTTTAAATGGTGGGTGTAATTTGATAAACAGTAAAATCATCTAAATGATTGG